AAAATTTTATCTCAATGACAAATTAAGTATTAGCGAGTTATTACATGAGTTATGAATACATTGTCTCAGCCTCTACTCCATCCTAAGAACTGGAGCTTTGGAATGTTCAAAGTAGAGCTGCCAGTCACACTTCTGCTTGGTCAAGTTAACTCTGGTTTTTGCTTTGCCACCACAGCAAGGGAGGGAAGGAGGGGAGGAGGTCTTTGAAAGAGGAGTGGGGAGTAGAAGAGAGGGGAGGGGAGAGGAAGGGAGAGAACAAGAACAGGAGACAAAGGGAGAAGAGGAGGAGAGAGGAGAAAGTAAGGCTGAGGGAGGGAATGGTTTTTTCCTGTTTACTTCCTGTTAGCTATCTGTGTGTGACCCTCCAGGATATGATTCCTGCCACATTTTCTTCACAGTAGCAGCACTTTGTGTCCACAGCAGCAGTTTAATCCAAATCCATTTTGTAGAATTTTGCCAACACTCAAGGGCAATTGATATCATAGAACCCAAGAACTGGATGCTTGGGAAGACTGAGCTAAACCAGATGGACTGTCTATATGCAGTTAGACCTCATATCTGCTCTCTTCCAAACTTCACAGGCTGACTGAATACGGAAGATTGTTCTGGGGAGCTGGAAAGAAAATTTCTTGACCCTGACGACATCAGACATGGAAACACTTTCCCACCTGAAGCTCTCAGAAAGCTGGCAGATTACTGCAGTTCACGCGATTTCTCCACTCCTGCAGGCCAATGACTAACAGATTTTTCTTTGGGGAAATAGACACACTGAACAGAATGGCTACAGATATGACAATTTGTGGTCATAACCCAAACAGATGGACCCTTATTCAATTATTCCTCTGTGGGACCCATTAATAAGTAAGCTTCTGTAATGTGTGCTGGCCTTAAAATTTGCATTTGAGAATCACAATATTTCAAACACAAATGAAGAAAGGAAGATCACCATGTAATTTAGGAAATCTCATTCAAGAACAAGAGAAATGATACAAACGGAAATGTTTACAAACACAACTGGTAAAATACAAGAAACAGAAGACAACTAAAAAGGAAAAGTAAACTAAATGTAGAATTATTATCTCTATCTGCAACAGACATGGGTGCTGAGGGAGTTGGGGAAGAGATGTGTGTATATCGCTTCCCAAAACGAAAGCAGCTGCAAAAGGGGGAAAAAATGACAAATTCAGAGAATGGTTTAGAGCTCCTGGAAATTAAAAATAAAATAAAACAAAAAATAAACTAGTCAAAGACTGGCAAGATGTCTCAGCAAGTAAAGAAACTTCCTGTTAAGCCTAAAGACCTGAGTTCCATTCCCAGGACCATATGTTGGAAAGATTCTTACAAGTTGTCTTCTGATTTACACAACTGCACTGTGGCATTCATATAGGCACACACAGAAATTGAGAGAGAGAGAGAGAGAGACAGAGAGAGAGAGAGAGACAGAGACAGAGACAGAGAGACAGAGATTCAGAGAGAGAGACAGAGAAGGAAAGGGGGAAAGAAGGAAGGAAGGAAGGAAGGAAGGAAGGAAGGAAGGAAAGAAGGAAGGAAGGAAGGAATCAGTCAATCAATCAAGAATAGGGATAAAATTTAAATTTTTTTTTGTTGTTTGTTTGTTGAGATAGTGTATTCCTATAGTTCCAGCTGGCCTGGAACTTGTTACATAGATGGAGCTGACCTCCATCACACAGAGATACCCCTGCCTCTGCTTCCTGAGTCCTGGGATTAAAGGCAAGTGCCCTCACATCCAGGAAATTATAGATGATAAATAAGATAGACAGATAGATGATAGATAGATAGATAGATGATAGATAGATAGATGAGAGATAGATAGATAGATGATAGATAGATAGATGAGAGATAGATAGATAGATGATAGATAGATAGATGAGAGATAGATAGATAGATGATAGATAGATAGATGAGAGATAGATAGATAGATGATAGATAGATAGATGAGAGATAGATAGATAGATGATAGATAGATAGATGAGAGATAGATAGATAGATGATAGATAGATAGATGAGAGATAGATAGATAGATGATAGATAGATAGATGAGAGATAGATAGATAGATGATAGATAGATAGATGAGAGATAGATAGATAGATGATAGATAGATAGATGAGAGATAGATAGATAGATGATAGATAGATAGATGAGAGATAGATAGATAGATGATAGATAGATAGATGAGAGATAGATAGATAGATGATAGATAGATAGATGAGAGATAGATAGATAGATGATAGATAGATAGATGAGAGATAGATAGATAGATGATAGATAGATAGATGAGAGATAGATAGATAGATGATAGATAGATAGATGAGAGATAGATAGATAGATGATAGATAGATAGATGAGAGATAGATAGATAGATGATAGATAGATAGATGAGAGATAGATAGATAGATGATAGATAGATAGATGAGAGATAGATAGATAGATGATAGATAGATAGATGAGAGATAGATAGATAGATGATAGATAGATAGATGAGAGATAGATAGATAGATGATAGATAGATAGATGAGAGATAGATAGATAGATGATAGATAGATAGATGAGAGATAGATAGATAGATGATAGATAGATAGATGAGAGATAGATAGATAGATGATAGATAGATAGATGAGAGATAGATAGATAGATGATAGATAGATAGATGAGAGATAGATAGATAGATGATAGATAGATAGATGAGAGATAGATAGATAGATGATAGATAGATAGATGAGAGATAGATAGATAGATGATAGATAGATAGATGAGAGATAGATAGATAGATGATAGATAGATAGATGAGAGATAGATAGATAGATGATAGATAGATAGATGAGAGATAGATAGATAGATGATAGATAGATAGATGAGAGATAGATAGATAGATGATAGATAGATAGATGAGAGATAGATAGATAGATGATAGATAGATAGATGAGAGATAGATAGATAGATGATAGATAGATAGATGAGAGATAGATAGATAGATGATAGATAGATAGATGAGAGATAGATAGATAGATGATAGATAGATAGATGAGAGATAGATAGATAGATGATAGATAGATAGATGAGAGATAGATAGATAGATGATAGATAGATAGATGAGAGATAGATAGATAGATGATAGATAGATAGATGAGAGATAGATAGATAGATGATAGATAGATAGATGAGAGATAGATAGATAGATGATAGATAGATAGATGAGAGATAGATAGATAGATGATAGATAGATAGATGAGAGATAGATAGATAGATGATAGATAGATAGATGAGAGATAGATAGATAGATGATAGATAGATAGATGAGAGATAGATAGATAGATGATAGATAGATAGATGAGAGATAGATAGATAGATGATAGATAGATAGATGAGAGATAGATAGATAGATGATAGATAGATAGATGAGAGATAGATAGATAGATGATAGATAGATAGATCGATAGATAGATAGATAGATAGATAGATAGATAGATAGACACATGAAAGCTAGATAGTAACTCTGGCTCTCTGGCTGGCCTAGAAATTGCTGTGTAGAACAGGCTGGCTTCAAACTCAGAGACTTGCCTGCCTCTGCCTTCCAAGTGATGGAGTGCTGGGATTGAAGACCTGCCCCATGCCCATGCCCATGCCCATAGAAATGTTTCTTTTAAAGTATATCAAGAAAAAGAAGACTGTAGAAGAAAGATCAAACTAAACAATATAACCAGCTTTCCAGTTTTCAAAATAAGGAAAGTAGAAAAAGCATAGAATTAAAATAAAAAGTCAAAGAAAATAATATGACTCCTACAATCATTTTCGTTTTCACTTTATCCTACAATTGATGGATTTCAATTCTGCACTGAGTAATAAACACACTTATTTTTAAAATCAGTAATCATTAATTCCTTGGTTTGTTTTAAAATAAAAATTTGAAAGGCAGAATTAATGCTCACTTAGATGAGATTATTTAAATTAAGTACAATATTCAGCACATGAACTAAAATTGGCACATATAAAACCAACTTCACACAGCATACTTGCTTCACTTTTTAAAATTCTAAATTGAAAATTAAGGACTCTACAAGTCACCCTAAATGACTGACTTGAAGCAATTGAAGTTATATTTACATATACAATTTAATCAGGATTATGCTAGTACAACAGGTGCTAAAAATAAAAATTGTAATCGGAGCAGTAGTTACAAGGTTACTTTAAAAAATTAAGGAGTGCATCTTTGTCTGCGAGTGCCAGGAGAACGAGATCTACAAATAGGAATCCTCTAGGACAATTTCCATAAAGACAATAATTATTATATGTTGAAGGTTACATATGCTCTGTTAAAGCTCAACAGTAATCCCATCAAGAAGTTCAAATACGAATAGAACCAGAGAACGAATTATTGGTACATCATAACAAAGAGCTCCTTTTAGTCATTTTAACATTATCGTGGGTCTATTTTAGTTTCCATTCTTTGATTTCAGTTACCACCAATGGTAGCCCAAAAATATCAAATGGAAAACTCCTATAATTTATCATACAAATTGGGTACCGATCTGATCTACATCATGAACTCTTTCACCATCCTGTTCCATCCTGCCTGGACAGAAATCATCCTTTGTCCCATACATCCTTGCTGTATTGGTACCCCGCCCGTTAGTCACCCAGTACCCTTGCCAGTTATCAGACCAACCGAAGTGGAATCAGTGTCTGTGTTCACGTGACCCTTATCTGGCAGCCTAGCACTGGTCACCATGCCTACGTCATCCCATTTCATCTGATCACACAGGAATTACGTCACGCCACCCATCCTAGGGATGTGCACAGGGCAAAAAGGCCCTGAGAGAAGCCGGACATGGTGGCAGCTCCTGTAATCCCAGCCTCAAAAGGCTGCGACACCGGAAGGCTTGCCAAGTCCAGGCCATAGAAAGTTCCAGAGCATCCTGGACAGGAGAGCGAGACCTGGTCTCCCAGCCTCAGGGACTTCCGGGTTCCTCCCTCTGGCAAGATGGCAGCGTTTGAGGACCTGCAGGAGCTGCGGCTCCCGGAGCTGTTGGAGAGCAGCAGGCAACTCCTGGAGGAGGTGGAGGAGACGACGGAGCCCACAGGGTCCAAGATCATCCAGGACAAGGTGAGGAGGGGCCTGGACCTCCTGCTGCGGGCCTCGGGCATGTTATCACAGCTCGACCTGTTCAGCCCGAATGAAGACTGGGAGGAGATAGCTTCCGCTGACCTCAAGTACCTGATGCTGCCGGCCCTGCAAGGTGCGCTCACGCTGAAGCTGCTGGGCGCCGGCCAGCGCCTGGACCACTTGCAGCAGGCTCGGGAGCACTTCCTGACCTTCCTGACCCAGATGCACAACTACCACGTGGCCGACTTTGAGCTGCCCTGGGCAGGGAGCAGCTCACCGGAAGAAGGCCAGGCGGCCACTTCCTCGCCGGCAGAACGCAGCCTGGTTGCCATGGCATCCCAGAGGCAGACCAAGATCCAGAGATACAAGCGGAAGAAGGAGGTGGAGGAGCGGTTGTCCGGCCTGCAGTCGGCGGTGGAGAGCGGTCAGGCGGATGACCAGCTGGTCCGGGAGTACCACCTACTGCATCTCCGGAGGTGGGTCAGCATCAGCCTGGACGAGATTGACAGCATCGACCAGGAAATCAAGATCCTGAGAGAGAGAGACTCCTTCAGCGAGGTCTCAGCATCCTACCCCAGGCCTCAGGAGAAGCCGCCCCTGAAGCCCTTCGTCCTCACCAGGAGCACCGCCCAAGCCCAGGTCTTCGGAGCTGGTTACCCAAGTCTGGCGACGATGACGGTGAACGAATGGTACGAACAGCGTCAGAAGTGTAAGGCTTTACCAGCACCCGAAGTAGAAACTCAGCCCACACGGGTTGGGTCCTACAGAGAGTCTCAGCAAGAGGAAGAGGAAGAGCAGGAGAAAGAGGAACACGACGAAGCCCGCCAGAGACTCCAGCAGTGGGATGACTGGAAGGAAAGCCATCCTAGGGGCTATGGCAACCGCCAGAACATGGGCTGATCTCTCACTGTGAGTGGACAAAGGAGCGGCCACCTTCAGAGACCAGGAAAGCCATTTCTTTTCCCCTCCTTGGGCCCCTGCTTCAGTCCTGTGCAACGAAGGCGAAGGCACTAAATCTTGTTTTGCATTCAATAAAGTGCCAAACTATCAAGTTCGTATTTGCACTCTGGTAAACGTCCACTGATATTGTTTGGGCATTACTGTCACCATGGTGTAGTCCCATCTCATAAGTGCATAGAAAAGAATGCTGAAAAATGGCTGTATAATCAATGACCGTATGATTTCTCTTTTAAAAAAAAATAAAACCCCCTTTTCCTGAAAAAAAAAAAAAAAGATACCGAGAGAGAACATTGACATAAGTTTTATTATAGTATGTTGTTGGCTTTTATTATTGCTAATATCCTACTGAGTCTGATTTATAAGTCAACTACTATAGATAAATGTAGCTAGGAAAAATACATAGTATATGTCGTGTTGGATTGTGCAGTTGGTTTAAAACAAGTTTGGAAATGGCCTAATACGTGTATGGCTGGGGAGACTGTCAAATGTAATTGGATCAGTTTGGGCTCTGATAATAGAATGCGAGTTGCATGAAGTCATAGAACAGCTCTGCTTTCTTTAATTATGGAGTATCTAGAACCTTCTTAACAAAGTGTTTATACCAAGGTTGGAGTCTCATAAATACTCGTTGCAATTTAAAAGAACTCTGGCTTTTAAAATCTTTTATTTTCTAGAGCTAGAAAAGAAAGTTTAAAAAAAAGATATTTAGCAGTACATATGTGATCTACCTGCAACTAGACAAAGTTTTCAGATGTGTTGGATACTTAAAACAGTACCAAATTAAACCCACTTTTAAGAATAGAAGAATTAAAAATATCCACTATCAAAACACATGGATTTTGACTCAGCATTTTTACATCTGTAAGTATATGAAAGTGACTTACGTAAAGACATAGTGTGGAAAAATGGTGGATGGTGTGGTCTTCTTTAGTTTAGTTTAGTTTTTGAGTCTCACTATGCAGCCCTAGCTGACCTGGAACTCCCTATGTAAACCAGGTTGGCCTAAAACTCACAGAGATCTTCCTGCCTTTGCCTCCTGAGTGGTGGGATTAAAGGTTTGCACCATGAGGTTGGTCAGTAGATGTATTGTTTATAAAAGCATGTATTGTTTATAAAAGCTAAAAGGGTAACTACTTATTTTTGCAAATGAAGGAGTCTGGATAAATATTCTTTGTTGTAACCACAGGATAGAGTGCTAGTATGCCCTTAGGTTAAGTTGAAGGTTAGTACAGAAGATGACAAAATATATGTTAAGACCTATTGAGTCAAGTTTGTATCCCCCAAATGTCCCTTGGTGTGAGCCTGGTCAACCTAGCTAGCATCACTCCCCTAACTAAAGACCAAACCTCACTCACCCAACAGTGAGCAGTTGCCAATATTTCTTGAGCTAAAATCAAATGGGGCTTTTTACCCATTTCCCAACTTCTATGCTAGTTTTTTTGTCCATAGGCCTTAATGTATATGAAAGAATGCATGAAATCAGGCGGCAGTGGGGGAGGTTATGGGGGCAATGCAGAGCAAGGAGGGGGATCTAACCACGATCAAGATGCATGACAATTCAGTACACATTTTTTTAAAAAAGATTCAAGATGAAAGAAAACAATGAAATGATTCTATTTGTAGAAAGAAAAATGATCATGAACAGTGTAGGATAATATATAGGTATCTTCTGGTATTATTAAATCCAAATTAATCATACACGTCTTGTAGTGAGTTAAAAGTAGTCACTAAATTTATTGATGGTGGTAACTAAATGATTAGTGTGCTGCTAAGCGATTAACAACTGGATCCTCAAGAAGAAAAAGTCTTTGATTTGAAATGTGTGCCTGTGTCTGTGGTGTAAATCTTCCGGTCATGGTGATGCCCCTTAACATGATGCCTCTGAATTCAGACGAAGGAAAGCATACTTCATTGTTCCAGGCTGGGATGAACCAGCTCCAACACAGTACTAGGGATAAGGAACTATCAGGTGTTGTTCCTGGAGCCTCGTGAATCTCTGCTCTCGGCCCTCTCTTGGAGCCCCTTCTCGTCTCTAATAATAGTACTAGACGAGCCATTGAGCAATGCAAAACTTCGGTGATGTTTCATTTCTTTATGAAGTTGGCCAGCAGAGCTGCTAAGTTTAACTTCCACACTAAACAAAGATCAGGCAATTTACATGATTTTCCTTTTCCCTTGTTGAGCTCTTGGATGTGTTTGCATGTAGAGTAAAGAAAATATTAGGTATAACAAGAATGAGCTATCAAACTGATATTTCCTGACCTTTTGAAATGGAAAACATATCTTAAATTAACAACATGCATGGGATAAATGCAAGGAGCCCTGCACTTTGACTTTCAGCTGTTTGCTTTCTGGAATATGTGTCTGACCATCCATCTCTGACAGAAGCTCTAATACTAGGTCTTTGAAAATCCCCATAGTAAATGCTTGGCTAAATAAGAGGGAAGGAGAAATGATCTTTCCCCTTAAGCGAGTGCTGATCCAAGCCACAGTCTTTTCATTTGTTCACTGCAGGGTCATCTACCTACCATCACATCTGGGCGAAGGTCATGCATCTGCATCTAAGATGTTTATGTCTATTTTTATTCATAGCTGGAAGTAACCAGAAGGTGTGGGTGTCAAGAAGAAATAAATAAAAGCAGAAAGAAGACAAGTTTAAATTTCTGTTAATAACATGAGTTGTATCCAAAAAGATGAGGTCCAGATAAGGCAAAACTTAGTGACATCATTGAAACCAGTATATTTATAAGAAAGAAAAGCTACATAATAAATACAAATTAATAAAGTATAACCTGAGACTGTTTTAGGAAGATATATGATCTAATAACTTGTCAATACAAAATGAATGTTTTCTAGGGACATGTAAACATAAAATTCAAGTAGAGGAAAAGAAAAAACAGCTAGTTACAAAAAAGTATAGCATAGGAAATTACAGTACATTAACTGTACTGCAGGGCTACTGTAGAATATTTTTAGAGCTATAGAGTTGGAGCTTGTTTGCAGAAATCACTGCATTTTCAAAAAGATATTGATGAATTTTTAAATGTAACTTTTTAATTATGAACCAGACATGTGAATCTTGAAAAACATATCTGCTTACACATTTAATAAAATTTTATCTATATATTCAAGTTATCTTTAAATAATATCTGATTAAAACTTAACCTATTTAATATTAGCCATTAACATTATTGTATAATGTTTGCCAAGTAAAATTTTATCCATTATTAAAAATTAATTTAAAAATATTAAAGAAGTTAGCCAGCCGTGGTGGTGCATGCATTTAGCCTTTAGTCCCATCACTTGGAAGGCTGAGACAGGCAGATCTCTGTGATCAAGGCCAGTCAGGTCTACATAGCAAGTTCTAGGCCAGCTGGGGCTACAGGGAGACCTTGTCTCAGAAAGACATTGCATATATATATATATATATATATATGGAATAACACATGAATCAAACAGACCATGTAATGCAAAACAGTAAGTTCTACCAACTCCTTACCCAACATCATAGAGGAGAATAATATTTTTTCTTTGGGGTTTATGATGCAGCGTTTCATTATACTTTGTGAAAAATGCGGGCACAGGATTAAAAATGGATGATGTAGAATACTTCTGGAAATGATTCAAATATCAGGGAGAACCCCTTAAAATACAATAAATCTACTTTGTACATTCACATCTGTTGGAGTGCCCACAATTGTAAACAACATTGTAGGATTTTGCATGTGCCCTGAGGGATGACTTAAGTAGCATGCTTTAGGTCCTTCTACTCTGTGAAGGGAACAAATGTTCCCTGATGCCATGATTGAGTTAATTCACACCACAACAGTGTCCTGAATTATAAGTTCTGTAATGGCAGATTTCTGTGCATAGACTTTCTGCATTATAGCATGTACCTGCAAAACCCAAAAGGGCTGTCAGTTTTCCCTTTAGACAAAATTGTTCAGACCTGAGCCTGAGTGAAATGTCAGGTTCTGATCTCTAAAACCAAAGAGGAATGTGTACTGCATAATCAAACTACGTTTTACCTGGCTAGAGCCAGAAATAATTCAGGCTGATGCTCACTCTGCCCAGACCATATAATCCCAACCAAATACGGCTTATTCTGAGAATTCTGGGCAAACTACACCAGAAACATCCTATGATGTTTTAAAAATATACTCAGATATTCAAAGTTCTTTCATTTCAATGAAATTTTAATGTATATAAATTACAGAGAATTTATAGAAGTCCCAATGTTATTAACTATAACATTTATGAAAGATTGTTCTATAATTATGTTTAAATTGATGGAAACCATATATCTATAGACTCAAACCGGATTGGAGAAGAATCATGACTAGAATGTAAATGTTAATTGCTGTGACTAAAATAATATTGGTGGACTTGAACAGGCAAATAAAGCAGAAGCTTGTTTAATAAATAAATGCAGTGTTGCACTTAATCAAAGAATGACTGTAAAGAAAAGGTTTAGCCATTATATGACTCACCTGTTCCTTCTAAAGCATAATTGTCAGCTTTATTTTCCTATGCCAGAGGAGGCGGCTGCATCTTTGGGATATTTACAATTTGTGCAATTTATTGAGACAGATCCAATTCCTTTTTTATTTGTTTTCCCAAAGCACCTATTTTTTTACCTTTGCTGACCAGTGCAAAATCATCCTCACTAATGTTTATAAAATACCACATTATTGTTAGATATCGAATCCAAATGCAAGCACTGCAGGTTCTAAGAGATAGTAACTTGATGCGATCTGTCTGTAGATTGCTCCTGTCCAGACTGCCTAAGCATAGTTTCTATAAAACTCAGTGACATTAAAGAATGGAAAGAAAGACAAACAGGTTGTATGTGTGCATGTGTGTATACAGGTACTTGTATCGAGGCAGATGACTGAAACTGGGAAAGGAATAGTAATTATACCTACTAAAAAGGTCTAGCTTCTGAACAAAAATACAGAAACATTTCATTTTTC